GATCAATTTTGAAAATTTATGAATCAGAAGTATCGAACTGATTCGATAAGAATATTGAAATTATCAGATCAATTATGAATCAAAAGTATTGAACTGATTCAAAGAGAAAATTGAAATTATCGGATCAATTATGAATCAGAAGTATTGAACTGATTCAATGTAAAGTTTGAAATTATCAGATCAATTTTGATATATATATAGATTTAAAACAAAAACTCATGCATAATAATAACACTAGAACATTGACATTTACATACATGCCACCTAAACTACAAATTTTTCCATAAATGCCACCTTCCCATACATGCCATCTTCGTTATGCAATTGAGTTCAGGGAGCAGACACCAGAGAATAAAGATGAGAGTTTGGGGACCAGACGTGTCAATCCCCGCCGAGCCAATCCGTAAGGAGAACAATGAACAATAAAGCGCGATTGATTGGGGAATTCTGCTATCACGTGACATAAGGGTGAGAGAAAAGGGTTTTGGACGTTAACATAACAAAAAAAGATATAAATGTTTAATGTGTAAGGTTTGCATGATTTATGTTTTACAAATATAAATCTCAATAATTAGGTGCCATACAAATAAAAATCTCTTATATTTAAAATATATTTTTTATTTTTAAGAAAATCGGAATAGAATTTTTTTTTATGACACATCTTTTATGTAAATATTAAAGTTTAGATATTATTTAATATTTAAATATATAATATTTATGCACCTTTTGACTCATGTGCTATATATATTCGTCACTATATACTTATTTTTTAAATTCTAATTCACGGTCTGCATATTATATAATAGTATTTTTATCTTAACATAGAATTAGTACAATATCCACAGCCATAAATGGGATACTTAAGAAATTAATACTTTATCCACAACCTCAGACGTAGAACGCTCCATCTTACAGCTGAATACAAATACCTTCAAACGTACGCCAGAGCTGTCAAAGTCAGTGGCATGTCAACGTAACTTCTCTTAAATACAGTGTCAAAAGAACCAACCGCTCCGGCTATCACTAGAACCAGTAGGATTCCCTCACCAACTCGCTCCCCCTCCCTCGGCTCACTTTTCTCCATCTCGATCTCTTACTTGATTAGTGTTTGAATACGAGAAGCCATCAGATCCAGATCCAAAACCCTAACCTAGAGTTCACTTTTGCCTCCCACTCGAGATGGAGGAGGCGCTGGAGATGGCGCGTGCTAAGGATACTAAGGAGCGCTTGGCTGCCGTTGAGCGGCTTCACCAGTCCTTAGAGTCGTCTCGCCGGACTCTTTCCGCAGGCGAGGTATCTACACTAGTCGACTGCTGCATGGATCTCCTACGGGACAGTAACTTCCGGGTGGCACAGGGCGCATTGCAGGCGCTGTCTTCCGCCGCCGTTCTTGCTGGAGAACACCTTAAGCTACACTTTAATGGCCTCGTTCCTGCGATCGTAGAGCGACTTGGAGATGGAAAACAGCCTGTCCGTGATGCGGCGCGCCAGCTTCTTGTCACTCTCATGGAGGTTAGGTTAACGCAGCCAAATTATGGTTAATTCGTATCTCTCGCTGGCTTGTTTCTGCGTTTGGATTCCATCAGGGCCAGGGGAAGCTATGTTTGTTTGATATTGATGAATGTGCTTGTTGAAAGCCCGATAACGTTTCCCTTTTTTTTTTAAATAGCTGCTATCAATGAGACCTTGAAAGCTTTTACATAGTTAACAAGGTTTCTAGCGGATTAGTTAAAATTAGGAAATGTTTGGTTTATTTAATATGGCAAAACCGAGATTACTGAAAGCTTGATAGGCATTGTGATTCTGGGTTAGCCTGGTATTTGGCATCTTATTCGAATAGTTAGGATATTTGATACGTGGGCAAGCGTCCACCGTTTTCTTTGGATGCTCCATGAAGTTACATTTTCCTGGCAATTGATATTGTTACCAGTGTACACTCTCAGGCAGATGGATGCCGAGGTAAGCTGCGCTTTGAATATAATTAATGGATATATATGGCTTATAATTTCTTCTTACCTTTCATACATTAGCATCCTGGGGTGATTTGTACCTCAAACATGGCACTTCGAAGGTGGCAGCTTCATACGACTTTTGGAATATTTTATTCTCCTTTTGCCTTGGCTATTCTGAATAGAAGTAATTTTTTCTCTTACTAGCATGCAACTGCTGGAAAACTTGGATTGCAATACTATAATTAAGTGATACCAAAAGAACTAGAAATATGTAGAAAATAAATTTTGTTTGTACCGTTATTACAGAATCCTTCCGCTCAATTTATAAGGTCAGATGAAGCAATAGGTTGCAAAATCCAAGAGCATGTATTATCACGATGGCATTATGCTATTTGAAGATAAAATAGCAGGCTTATGTACTTGCTGAACTCCTAATGGTTTAATATTGCTAATGTTTAAAATGTTTGTTGATAGGTATCTTCACCAACAATTATTGTTGAAAGGGCTGGGGCTTATGCATGGACTCACAAAAGCTGGCGAGTTCGAGAAGAGTTTGCTCGCACGGTTACCGCTGCAGTTAGCCTATTTGCTTCCACAGAACTTACCTTGCAACGAGTTATACTTTCTCCAGTAAGTATATGTTTTACTTGAGCCGTGAACTTACAAATTCTTATTTTCATGGGTATATAGGATGGTTTGCTTAACTCATTTATGATTCACAACTTTTATGTACTTTATTACATTATTGATGAAAAATCTATTTAGTTGACCTCGAGTATTTGGGATTTGGATGCGATGCTAATTGCGTTGATTCATGAAAACTAAGGTGCTGCATTGTAATTTAATACTTTGTTCTTGCTTTGCAGGTTCTGCAACTGCTTAATGATCCAAACCACGGTGTTCGCGAAGCTGCTAGTTCATCAATTGAGGTGAGCTGAAATGTACTTTCAGGGCTAGTTTAGATTACAATATGACAAACTTTTCCTTAAAAAATTGTGAATGTTAATGCTCTGGTGTTCTAGCTTCAGCTTCATGCCTTATGTTGCTATTACTCTTTCTATAAACTACCTGCGGCTTTCACATATAAATGTAGTTGTTTTTTCTCACTTTTAAGCTTTTGTTTGAAATTATAATAGTCTTACATAATCGATGGCGAGAGTGATTTCAGTGGCAGTTGCAATCACGAGCTGTTTTCATATTTCAAGAGAAATGCAGCTGTAAGCAGGAAGAAGGGATCATTTCAGTGGCTGTTGAGGCTGCCTTTGGGAGGATTAAGCGGAGCTTTCTGAAATGGCTGATGGTAGGGAGTTTACATGGGCTTTAAAGATGAAGCGAGGGTCTGATTTAGTCGTCCACAAAGAATGGGTTTCATGTTACGGCAAAACATTAAGTTTGTTCAAGACTCAATGGAGAACTGGAGATTGGTGGAGAGCAATAGCCTAACCTTAAGACATGGTACAAAAATATAAAGGGTCTGAGATATAGGAAACTTTGAAATAAAAGTTGAGTGTAGAGATAATTGAATGGTAAATGATCGAGAGAGATTTTGATCCATGGTGGATTTTGGGAAGGAACCTCAAAAGAGAGGGAATAATAAGGGTTACATTGAAGAAAATGAGAGACCTGGGAGTGAACCGCATGAGGGAGGATTATGTAAAATATATCCATATGTTTAGCAAAGAAGAAATAATAGAGAATGATGTTGACATCATTTTTGAGGTTTTTCTTCCCCTCTCCTTAGAGCCTAGGATCTAGCCTTAGGATTTTTTATTTGGCTCTCTTAGAGGGCTACTACCGAAACCCACGCTATTTAGGTTCGAGCTATTTCTTGATTCATTGTAGTCTCATATGAGTGGTTTTAAATCATTGAAATTCAACTGAGTCTATTAAAACCAACGCATTGAAACTCAAGTTGAGTGCCTATAGGAATTGAAATTGCCATGGGGAAACCCCACGACATACGACGAGAGACTTACTGTTGCGAGCAATCTGCTTGACTTTGGTAGTCAGTTAGGTGAAGAACGGTCGACACTTTGTACGTTAAACGACTCTTGGCGGAGTCTTCTCTTGCCGCGCCACACGCGAATCAAACTCAAATTGGCTCGAGCGTCGGTGAGCTCGTCCAGATGACCATGGATGATGAAACGAACCTCACGAGTGTGTCCGAATATTGATTTTATTTGGAAAGGATACTCGCGTAGTACAATTCGGTGCGCAGAAAAATCGTACGCGAATTAAATTTTTTAAATAAAGTTCACAATCTTTTCAATTCGGTTGATACAAAGCTACCATTGACGACTAGCTCATTCAGTATCACAAAGAGGTAACGACTAATGAAAGTCTTCCCAAAAATCACATCATCGATTACTTGCCTAATTACCACAAGACAATGTTGTTATGTTCTATTGATACTCTTGATACCGAACTTCCGCAAACCATCATTGATGAACAACAAGAACTGGGTCTTATCTCGAATCAGACCATTCTCGTTGCACAAACATGTTGACAGATCTTGCATGACGATTTTCAACCACTTATTACTTGCTCCTTTTATTTCTTCTCGATCGATACCGTTTCTTGTTCAATAGGGATAATTTGTTCCTGTTTGATTTAATTAAGAAGGGTTTTTTTCCTCTCATGCTTGGTTTAATTGACATAAACTATGAAGGAATAATAGGTCGCCACTGACGAGATGCTCAGGATATAGATCTAACTGGTGCTATTATTGTAGCTGATATATCTAATGAGCAATATGTGAAACAACAAGACTCAACATGCGCTCCTCCATTGTGGGAAAATACAAAGATTTCCAAACTATGTGAGAAGCACCCATGAAACACCGGTGAAAACTACTATTTGCAATGCAAGCGTAAGATTTGGTCGATCTTTCGAGCACCCTCAAGCATTTGAATGAGATCGAGAAGGAACTGCCTCAAGGCTATGTAGGAAAAATCAACTTTGAGTTGAAATTTTCAACGAACATAGTGACGGGGTAGAGATGTGAGTGATATAAAGATTTGCATAGATTTTTTCATGCTGCAAGTCCACCTTTGGGATGTATACTAAGTTCCACCTTTGGGATGTATACTGAGTTACTTCGATGGTATGACTAAAGACTTAATCACGTTCCTCAGAGCATCTTAGGGAAGTTAACTCATCAAAAGTTTATGGATTTTAGTTCGATAACTGCAATGAAATCTTACGATCGTTATTGCTTCTATATGAGTGATGACAAAACCAAATAAAATCATCTAATGGACCCTCAATCTTAGCAGTTACCTACAGATTTCTTTGCTGAAGTGTTTATTCCTGACATCAAAGCTTTTGAACCCATCATGTATCATTGTGAATTATACTATCGAGTTAATGGTCACCTGGTACATTACAATAATAACAATACCGATCTAGAAGGAATGAGAGGAGCAACTTATATGTGGTTGGAAATCGTCACGCAAGGTCTGTCAACATGTTTGTGCCACGAGAATGGTCTGATTCGAGATAAGTTCCTATTCTTATTGTTCACAATGCAGTTTGTGGAAGTTTGGTATCAAGAGTATTTATAGGATAAAACAACAATGTTTTGTAGCAACTAGGCAAGTAATCGATGATGTGATCTTTGGGTTGAAAGTCTTAAGCTTTGTTGGGATAGGAAGCTCATTAGTTGTGACCTCTTTGTGATACTGAATGAGCTGGTCGTCGATTGTGGCTCTGTATCAAGCGGATTGAAAAGTTTCTGTATAATGGCGGATGTGGACTTGAAGGAAGTAATGTCAGCACCAAATTACGAACAATTGCATTTTGGTATGATGTGAGACGCCCATAGTGTGGGAACACCACTTGATTTATGTCACTATATGTACATATTCAATACTTTAATGGATCATTACAAGATTGGTATACAACTTCAGAACAACCGGAAAGTCAACAATTTAGACTATAGGCTATTTTGCATCACACCCGTGTCATTAGGAGGAGTTGGAATCAGGTCACAATTGTAACTGACATGCAATGAGGTAGCCAATGCTACTAAAGAAGGTGTAGGCAACCTTCTATGTCTCGGTCATATGACAAAGATTTTGATGGCATGTGTAGGATCCATCATTAGCCAGGAGTATGAGCCATTCAATTCGGTAGACTTCATGCGAAAGCCAGAGCAAATGCATGTATCAGGGTCGAAACTCCGGATAAGTACCTGTATTCACGGACCATTGTTCCATATATTTCTTTTTCGCTCGCTTTCACACTGTTTTCTACGCATGCCTAGCTACATGTCCAATTATTACCGATGATTATTAGATGCGTCATCTACTGAACAGAAGAATGTAACTCATCCATTCATCTCCAGCTGTCACACTTATAGAAATCTTATCGACAATCCTATCTGCCATCTTTGACGACTATAACCTCTAGAATGATGGAGCACCTTTTATTGAAATTGGACCAACACACAATTTGGGATCACAGATTAGAAGCTCCAATAACCCAATTAGCGAATGTCATACTGTGTTACCTAGCACCAATAATACTAGTTATGCTTCACGAATTGATCCTCTACTTCTCAAGCTATGTAACAGTCATACGGTCTATAATGGTAATCAATGTGTTATGCGGTTGGTTGAGGGCATTTTTACTCGTCGTTGGGGCATGCATTTTAACGACACTCGTGCGATTAAGCATGCACATCGTCACAGTGCTAAGGTGTGCGCGATGCTTACTCCAGGCGGCAGAAGCCAATGTGTTGATGGAAATGTTAAAAGAATCACACACAGAGCTGATTGGGGTTACATCTGAACTGTAGTAGTTACGTTTGGCATGCTAGCGTGTGGAACAAGGTTTGACAACTATGACAAGAAATGATGTGACTGGTGTACACAAATTGAAAAAGCTATGGGCTTCAAAACTTGATACCGCAGTGCAAACAATGTCATCTCAGATTATCTTAATTTAGCTTTAGTTCTCTATTTAGTTGGATGGATTGCAGAGTCAATAAGCATACACTTATTTCTATTTGTTTTTTTAATGACTTAAAAAAAAATACTTGATATTTAAAGAGGAGAATAAAGATATGGAGAGTCACTAAATCTTGCTGTTCCAATAGCTTCTTAATGATGATCAATGCACTTAATCAGTCACGGGAAATATATTTCTTATGGTTAATCATTTAAAAGTCATATCAACAAGTATTTTTCAGAAAATTACTCAAAACATTTTCTTGTGACTCCTTGTACTTGAACCTCTAAGAAGTTTTTTTTTTTAAATTTTTTTAATCTAATTTCTTTTTTTTTTGTGAACATTTTGACGATTCAAAACGTCTTAAACGATTCATCCCTCTTTTTAGCAAATCGCATTAGTAGCTCCTTTATGTTTGAAAATCGAGCGGCGCCTATCCGACTTTTCTGTTTAAAGGAAAGAACCCACACCCATGTCCCCTTCTTGGAGTCAAAGGAAGCAATGGACGCAACAATACCTCTCCCGAAGGATGAATCTCACATGAACCTCTCATAGTCCTAAATAACATAAACCCATAGGACTTCGAGGTAGTTCGTCTGACAAGACGTAAATTCTCACACCATCTTTTAGGCATTCCTACGATCAAATATCATACGATATAAGTCCTAAACTCTTTTTAGGATTCCGAGGCCGTCATTCGGTAATGCGTGAGTCTTCCTATCTCATTGGGCCGTTTGCATAATCGTATATTGTGCAGATATAAGTCCTAAAATTCTAATAAATTGCAGGAGTAAAAATCAAATAACTTCACTTCCAAAACATAAAGCCAAACTTTAGAATATTTTGGGAATTCATTGAGTTCCTTCTCATATCCGTGACATCACTTACTTATTGCTCATTTAAATTCCCAAAATAACTGTTCTTATTTGAGCCACTCCCACTTGATGTTTCGACAAACAATCGTGAATGCTAAACTTTGAATTTATGAAGATGAAACCTCTGACCTTAAACGATAATTATCTTGTGTGCCTTTGGTCATTTATGATGTAATTAACTACAGGGGCTTGTCTCTATAGGAAAATTAGTAACCCATATAATATAAACCCTATCTGATTATTATATTAGATAGGATAATTGTTGGTCATGATTTTTGCAGACCAAAATAGAGTGGTAAATTTCTTTATTTAATAGTTAAGCTTACTAACAAGTAGTACGCTTATCTTTCGAGATGTTATATCACTTTTTGTATCATGGTCAACTATATAAATTATTAGATATATGAGATCTTTTCGATCTCATTTATTTCAAAAACCAGAATAATATTTTTTAAAATCAAAATTATATGCATATTAAATTAAATTTTTTTCAAAGCAATTCACATATTCCAGTTTGACGACCGATAAATGGTTGGAAGGAGAGAGCAATTTGAAAAAAATGCCAACGAGAATTTTTCTCATGCTAAAACAAAATGAATTTTCATTGATCAGTAATTAGCCTCATGGCTCCTTTTATAAGAAAATGATCTTTTCAAACAATTACATAAATCACCCAAGTAGATAAACTCAAAACAAATAAAATAAATTCAATAAAGAAAACAACTAAATCTACATAGCTAAAATGACCTTTATTTGCATCCACTAATAACTAATGAAAACAACAAATGGTCTTCAATCTTGTTGTGTGGGTTACATACGTGTCTTGATTGGACAATTGCCATCAATTCCTTCTGGGTTTGAAGGACTATTTTAGAGGTTTATGTTGAAGATATTCATCAAATAGAATTGGGGAACGGGTTTCAATTTCATAACGTGTTAGTTAAGAATCTTCTAATGACGGACAATAGTGGAAATGAATGATGTAATGATGCTTACTTTAAGGGCCCAATGAAACCTCATCAAAGAAAATATACCCAACATTTGATTTATTTGGAGTGGTTGAGAAACTAGGATCGATATTGTTAGTAGGATGTAGAAACTGCACTTGCAGAGCTACATGTAGGAAACTTTGAAGGTTCAAAAGTGCCTATATATGGCAATAAATCTTCAATTATTGAAAGATGGATTGATGTTCAGGTTAGTAGACAAATTAATAATATATTTATTTACCTCAAACTTTAACTATTTTATATCATTCCATAGGCTTGGGCATGTAACTTTTGTGTATGTCAAATATATAAGGCATTTAAGAATAATACACAGTAACACAATTGCCTTATAATATTCCCAATAATATCACTTTGAAGTTATCATGAGAAGGGACAATGAGGGATTTTATGACTAAATTAAATTCTCTTTTTTGTTTTTTGCATAAAAAAATGAAAAGCTTTATATAAATAGGTGGATAAGCAACTATTGTGTAAAGAAACAATTATGAAAGCCAATCTCTAATTCAGGAAAATAGAATTACCTGCACAATAACAATTGAATTTTGCTGTTCACGAATTACTGAATTATTTTAGACGGAAAATTATTTTCTGGAGTTTGTTAGATTGTTGTAGATGGAAAGCAACTATTAACAGACTGTTGACCTGCTTTTGCTGAAAAGATGCTAAACATGACTTCAAAATTATCTGAACCCTTTATTTCAGGCAAGGTTGTATATGTTGATCATGCCTGGCTTATTAATTAGATCATTAAAATTCATTTTGGGCAAAGCTTTGGTGAGTATATATGCAATTAATGAGTTTCTTGGAACATTATTTAGTTGGGATAATTTATTTTTAATTTTTTAAAATGCAATGTTAGTCTATCGCAATGTATTCAATTCTATCATTTTGGATAATTTTTTTGTAATATTTATGGTAGCTTGATTGCTGCAAAACTTTTTTTAAATTTTTTTCATTTGATAGTTCAGTCATTCTAATAATATTTTCAACTACATTCCTTTGCGAAAACCAAGCTCTCTACTTTCATATATTTTGCTTGAACGCTAGTTCTCAAACTGCATTTGTTTAGTCATTCTCCATTTAACTATGTTTTTCCATCCTTAATTAAAGTAATTAGAGATGGTTCTTCGTTATGATTTGTCACTAATCTGATTGCATATGTGAAATTTTAATTTTCTTATTGATGACTTTTTATGCTACATCTCTTTTCTTGGTGTTATTTTGATGTATTTTAGAATGTGAGTAATAGCTTTCAATTCTGTCTTTAGTAGGGTTGCACATTTATTGTCTAACAATATTAATGGGGAACCCAATACTAGAATGGGTGGAGAGAGGTGGATGTGTTTGCTCATATGATTTTGTTTCCTATGTTTTTTAGTGGGCACATTTTTAATTGGGATCCTATTTCTCTTTATTGGATTCATTAAAGTTTCTACATGCTTGCATCCTAGCATTCTTATTTTTAAATTAGTTCAATAATATGTTTCGTTTCCTAGTATCTTATCGATCATGCCACTTCCCTATCCGGAAAATATATTTCATTTGTTGCCTCAAAACTTCTAGTGAGAAACTTTTTAATCTGATTAGCTTTTCTTAGGTCATATTTTTGAACATCATATACATAAACAAACATAATTATCCGTTTCCATTATGTGAGTACTTGAAAAGAGAGTCTGATTAGCTTGATACTGAGTGTACCCTTACTGTTCAACTTGTTCAAAGAATCTGCCAAATTAAATGTGAGAAGATTGTTTGAAGGCCATATATAGCCTTTATGAGTATGCCGATATTTCTCAGACTTTTTAGTCTAAGTGGGAACTTCATGCATACTCTCTCAACGTCAACATCAAGAAAAAAACATTCTTAATGTCAAGTTGATGCAATAACTATTTTAAATTTTCTTTAGGCGTGTGAAGCCTGAATTAGGTTGAGTTTAATAATGAGAGAGAAAATTTACTAATAGTCAATACCATGTGCTTGGTTTTACCCTTTTTCGATAAGCTAACCTTTAAATTTATCCAAGCCTGTATTTGTTTTATATTTGATTATAAAGATACATTTTCATCCAACCATTTTTTTCATCGTGGAAGCTCCGAAGCTTCCCACACATCATTATTTTTTAAGGCTTGCTCTCCTTATGGTAGAACTTTCTTCCATTTGAGGATTTTGAGAGCTACGTGAATATTATTTGAAATCTAAATTTTATCAAGAGAAGTGGCAAGAGCACAACATCCAGTGAAAGCCTTTGATAATTCCTGAAATTATAGATTTGGTATTTGTTGCATGACCTCCTCGCCTTCTTTAAGGTAATAGGATATTGGAGATCAGTTTCTACATCTTTTTATTTTTTCTTATATTGTTGTGCTTCATTAGTCCTTGGTCAGCTTTGAATTCTTAAATAGGCTGGAGATATATTGATTGCTAGCCTTCTTGGTTTTTTTTCCTGTTAGTATAAGTCTGATGCTTAATCTACATGTTATTGTGTTTGTTTACATCGTGATGAGGGAGTTTACAGTTTTAGTGAGGCTTCAATTGGTTGTATCTACTAATATGGATGGATATTGAATTTTTTAATCTTTTGCAATTTTTTGGGTTTGACAACGGTTTAAATTATCACAAATTATAGTGATGCTTGAAATGTTTTTGATTTTTCTGTTTTTTTTCCCGTTTATTTATTTATATGATTGGGGAAAAGATTAAGCATGGGGGAATAGTTTATGTTCTTATGTGATAACACTAGCATAATGTATATGACCTGATTTACTGGATGCACTGTATCCCAAAATACTTTAGTCATGTCAAATTATTTAAAATTGAATTAATTCATGCATGTTTGATATTCTAAGTTGGACATGTATTGTGGCAACTTGGTTATGAAAGACTTCTCTTCTCTTTTCATGATGTGCATGTTTCAGTGTTTTACTGGAAAATATTTTTAAGGCTTTAAAGCTTTCCATTGCATCCTTTCATGCAGGAGATGTACGCTCAGGCTGGACCTCAGCTTCTTGAAGAACTGAATCGTCAACAGCTTACGTCATCCATGGTAATGATTAATAAGTTTTTCATTTTAAATCTTTTTGTTTTTTGCATCCTTTTGGATAATTGTTCGCCTGCGTCCATTATTAGCTTTCAATATATATATATATATTATATATATATATATGTATATATATATATATATATGTATATATATATATATATGTATATATATATATCTGTGTGTGTGTGTTGTGTGTATGTCTTAATGCCTAAATGTCTGTATTTGTGCATGTGTGTATGTTTTTCTTATGGAGTGGCATTAACTATATTCTTTTATCAACTTTGTGCTGCAGATGAAAGATATTAGCGCTAGACTAGCAAGAATAGAACCAAAAGTTCACCGATCAGATGGAGCTGGAACTCATTTTATTTCCACCGAAATCAAATCGTCTAATAGCCACAAAAAGGGCAGTCCGAGGACTAAGATTACTCCGAGGGAAACCTCTCTTTTTGGAGGTTGGTGCTACTTTTTGCCTTGCAGTTGCGATCCTTTTATGTTATGGTCTTATAATTTACTAGAAAAATTTCGTGATAAAACGTTGCTATGTCGCCAATTCTGGCTTAGGTGTACAATTTTTATAAGTTCTTAAGATTTGCTTATTATGGCTATGAAGTTTTGTTATCATTGCATGCTGATTAAATGACCACATGGTAAATGAGCTGGATGAGTATGTTTGATTTCTCTGTAGGTGTACTTTTTATTTTCTTGGATATTTAAAATTGAGAAAAAAATGGGTTTAGGGTTTGATTTCTACCCGAGCCACCTCATCCTCTTATCTCACGCTGCAGTCTACCTACACTCAACATCCTCCGCCCAGCCTCTACACCTAAACCAATTTCACTTCTTCATACAAAGAAACCGCAACTCCATCTTCTTTTATATGCATCTGTTACTCCCAACCCAATCACCGGCAAACTGCAGTATAGCTGAGTTCTTATGTATTTGTGCACGTTGTTCTAAAGCGGCAGAGAAAATTGCTTAAACTAAGTATTTGTACACGATGTTCTGATATGGCGCTAATATCTTGTATTTTTTTTATGCAAGTATCTTGTGAACGATGTTCTAATACGGTGCATTAACTTGTACCGGTTCGGCCCAGGGATTTGGAGGGGCGGCTGTCCCTCTATGTAGGGGAGTGTCGCCTCTTTTTAAGAGGGGGCCCACTCCTAGTTATTTAGAGATATAAATTTACTTTTGTTGGTGTTTAGGGTTCAATTTTTGTTGTGAATTGCTTTGGGCAGCCGTCGAATTCTTCTTTTCCCTCTACTGGCTGTAACCTAGAGTTCCAAGTGGTGTCTCGGCTGTATCTTGGTATCTAAGTGATGTTTATCCTTCCCATACCTTTCCCCCATCCCTTCCCACATCACTCCCACATTCCCTCTCCTTTCTCCTGGCTGCCTCCACCCAAAACAACCCTCCCACAGCTGGTCGTATCGCTTGCTTGCTGTCTGAACTCATGGAGACTACTGTCCTGCTATTTCTAGATTGCCAGCTGCCTCCTTGTCACCACTCCGGAGGTCCAAACCCCAAGTGACATCACGTACACCCTAGATCCAACCCTATTTCCAGTGTTTTAATGTTATTTTATTGCAATTTCAGATTAATTTCAGATTTTCCTACTGATTGTAATTTCAGACTTTGAATTCAGTAATATTATATGTTTCTTTTGGGTGTTTGTTAAATTTATGTATCATATTATATTATAGCTAGCCTAACTCTAGCTCCATCCAAGTGTTATCAAAATCTACCAATACCTAACCCAAATCACACCCAAAATCTTTCCTCCTTGTTGATTTTTGAAATTAGCAACCCTATCTTTTTCTGCATCCTAAATCAGCCTCATGCACCTTCTTTCATCTCCCAAACCTAAGCCTTAGCCACTGATGAACTTATCATGGAAGAGATGCAGTGGAAAATTCACCAGCTTTGGCAAAAGTTCGCTGAAATTGAGGAAGGGATCCACAAAGAGATCATTGCTGATTGTGATAGTGAAATTTGAAGAGTAGAGTAAGAGTAAAATCTGAACCCCTTCCTTAGGGATGATTCTAATGAAGAGGAGGATAGACCGTGACGTTTTATGATTCAATATCAAAGGAGGTCGAGAGAAGGATCGACTTTTGGAGGGCACAGAGTCATGCGAGTGAATGTAGATTTATCGGATTTTGAGGGTTGAATGAATCTGGATGACTTCATTGAGTGATTGCAGGCCATTGAGAGGATTTTTGAATATAAAGATGTATCAACTGATAGGACGGTAAAGCTTGCTGTCTTGAAACTGAAGAAGAGTGTCTCTTTGTGGCGAGAGAACCTGAATAGAGTGAGATAGAGAATGTGGGAATGAAAGCTTCAGTTGTTGTAACCTCCCATTGTTGAAAGCTCTCTGACTGTGATCCGAAAAATTCCTGGATCCCTCTGGCGACTGCACCGTCCCCTATGGCACCCGATGATTTTTCTTCACTTGAGAGCAAACATCCATCTTGGTCCAATGTTCTGGGAGCTCAATATTGATCAGATTTGGGCCTGTGTGTCATGCATATACTGCTGAATCCTTCCAAGGTAACCCACGGTTTGCTCAACCTGATTTGAAGTGAAGGTAATCTGAATCTCCCCGAATGGCGGGGGCCATGGCGGCAAGGAATCGATTTTGATATCCTAAAATGTTCTTTGTCTTGCTGTTCTATGTCTGAAATTGCGTCTCATTCCTATCATTCGTCGTTGCCAAAACTAATCCCATCGATCGTGCTATACTGACCAGGGAATTTGTAATCTCAGGCTCCGTGGAAAAAGACGATATGCTTCCCATCCTTGGTGAATGAGTAGATGTTTCTAAATATGTCGTGCCGATTCATACAGTCAAATTGCCACGGTCTCCCTAACAACAAGTGGCTGACATCCGTGGGTATCACGTCGCACCACACCAGATCTTGCAACTGATTTCCATTTAAAACTTCATCATACACCTCTGGTTAATGCTAACATTGTTCTCCTTCAGTCACGACAAAGAATGTGGCTGGGAATGCCTTGAAGTCATGACACCCAATTTCTTCACCATCTGCGTAGACACCACATTCTTCTTGTTGCCTTTATTGATGATAAGACTGCATCCCTTTCCGTTCATAGTGCAATAAGTGTAGAATATGTTGTGGTGAAGCAACTGCAGATTCCTCGTATTCTGTGTTTGTAGGACCCGTCAAACCACGAGCATCTTGCTCTCATTCGGTTAAAGGTGATACACCTGACCTTATTCTTGGGCTGTTTTTTGTCGCTAACTTCCTTCATTGCGCCCTGCTCAATAAAAGACACAAGTCGATTCGTTGGTTAGCTGATGATAATGTGCCCAAATCCATGACATCTAAAGCATTTTTTTGGCTTGGACATTAGTAGGGGTGTTTTTTTTCTCAGGCTTCTTCTCACTCAGGGTGACTGTCCATATCCGATCCAGTTTCTCAACTTCGTAAGATATGCTCTTACTGATGTCTCCAAGTGGGGGTAGCTACCTGTTCTGTTTATGCTGTCTCTCTACCTTCAAGGCGAAGGTCTGGACATCTCCCAATGATCAATAGGGTTGCAACTGCACAACGTTGCTGATAGCGAGCTTCAATCCCTCCAGATATCAAATTATGAAATGGTCCTCTGGCTCAACCAACTCACACTTCATCTGTAACTGGTTAAACTAGGCCGTGAACTCCTCCACTGATAGCTTTATTTGCTATAAGTGGTCGAGTTTTATAAACATATCCTGATTGTAATGACGAGGTAGATTTTTCTTATGCATCTTCTTCCTTATCTTCTCCCACTTATCAATCTTATCACTCTCCTCACTTGTTCTCTGCCTCTGCATGCTTTCACGTCACAAGGAAGTGTTCTTATTCAACTTGATGGATGCTAGTTACGTCTGTTGATCCTCTGATTCTTTATACTTGAAGATTCACTCAATTGGTTGCAATATTAATAAAGTCGTTTGGATCCGTACCTCCCACGGACTCTTGTAGATCCGGTTTGATGCTAAATTCTCTGTCTTTCATCTGTAGCCTTCTCTCTTGGTTTTCTCTGATATTGAATTCCAAAATGTGGGTGCATGTCTTACTCTTCGCTGAAGTCATCTCTATGGAAGGGATTTTTTATCCTCGTCTCTTTCTCCTTTTCAATTCTCCATATCACGATCGAGGGTAATCTTCCCCTGGGCTTCATTGCCAATCTCTGTAAGCCTCTGCTGAGACGATGGGGTTCTTGCTATATTTTTTTCGGGTAAGCTCGGGCTTGTTTTTCCTTGGTGACATGATTAGAGTTTGATATTTGTGTGAGTGGAAATGGTATCTTGTAGCAGGAAATAAAGTTTTGTGATGGTTTGAGTATGAAGGATGCTAGGAATCCCCGGTATAAGATTAGAGTAAAGCTAGCTCTGATACCAATGGATATTAGAGTTAACCCAAACTATAATAGAAATGCAATTTTTATTGTTGAAATTCAGAAGGATTACGAAAAAGGTTCTTAAAACATGAATAAAAAAACACACATCACAAATGACCCTCTAGGGCAAGGAAGAAAGGGGTGAATGCTGACTGACTGATAGGTGGGTGGTGATTTGGGATGTTGCGGTAGTAGAGTGGGTGTTGGAGGGGGTTGACGACAGAAGGTGGAGGTGCAGGAGGAGCTCGCGGTAGGAGGTGGCGATGCATCAGGTGGGTGTTCAAGGAGGGAGCGGCGGTAGGTTGGGGTTCAAGGAGGGCTAGCGGCGGTAGGTTGGGGTTCAAGGAGGCTGCAACAGTCATGACAATGATGAAAACAAAGGCAAGATTGTGGAGGATGTGGGGAAGTTGAGTATAATCACCACTTCGGAGCAAGATACAGTTGGAACATCACTTGTCCTCGGATACTTTTTTAAGAGAAAAAAACTTGGGACGCCAACGACTGTTTTGACTATAGCCCATCAACATGGACCGACCAACCTACTCCCCTCTGGGCTGAATCGGTTCAGCTCCATAGGGAGCTCCGTGTCATAGACTTACAAGGATATTACAATATTACTTTTAATGTTGTTATTCTGTTACTTTACTATGAGGGCTTAGATGTCTCTAGAGTTGAGGGTGAAGCCTCTCCTACACTAGGATAAAATCGCGGGAGCATCATTATTGAAGCCTCTCCTACACTAGGAAAAAGGTTCGTGATGCCACAACACTCGGGATTATGTTAGTCTCACGATCACGGGGGATGGGTCTGAGAGATCTCGTTTATCCTCTTTCCTTTTTTTGTTATTTTTTTCCTTATTTTCTACAACTTTTCTTTTTTCCTTCATTTATAGTCATTTCTTTTTTTTCTTATTTTCCAATTAGATTTTTTTCTATTAGGAGACTTTTTATAGTTTGTAGAAGGTTTTTAGGATTTCAACTTCTTTAGTTTCTGAGTATTGTGAGATTTCTCTCTGAATTTCAATCTCTAGAGTGTTGCAGCCTCT